AAGGCAAGAGGATCTCTTGAGCCCAAAAGTTTAAGTTGCTGTGAGCTAAGACACCAGCACTCTACCCAGGGTGAAAGAGTGAGACTCTGTCTCAGAAAAAAAAAAAAGAAAGAAAGAAAAAAAGGAGAAGCCTCTCGTGCCAAGCCAGACTGGGTCAGGGAGCAGATGCTGAGGGATAAGTGAGTTCCTGGGTGCCTGGCTTCCTCTCTCAGGAACACTGTCAACCTCCTATTTTCCCAGTTTGTGGGACTTCACCTTTGTCTTCTTAACAGGTTTCTTTCCAAAAAACATTCAACTATGTCTTGGCCCACTTTGGGGCAAATAGTTTGGTCTGGAGTTTAAAGAGCATTTGCCACTTGAGAGAAGTGTGACAAGGACTTCTGTTTAAGCTGTGGGATACAGGGTTGGAAATTTAGGAAATGGCCAGAGCCAGAAAGAGGGAAAGAGAAGCCATATGAGAGAGTGGTAATTGGGAACAGGTTCTCTGGGGATTACACGTGGAAGGACAGAAAAGCAGGGGCATGCAGACAAACACAGGGTAGAGAGCGCTGCGTGAGGGAGACCTACAACAAGCAGGTGAAGTACTCACAAAGATGGGGATGGGGGGATAGTCTGGCTTCTTTGTTTTACAGCAGGAGCAGCAACAGCAAATTAACCTGAAAATTCTCCTGAGAGATTTCGATAAAGGAGATGAGTTAGAGGACTGGGCCTAAGGAAATGCGGGGAGGAGCTGGGTGGTGTGCTCTGGGGGGTTGGAAGTAGGAGCTCTGAGGTCATCACCTGAGAAGGTAGAAGACAGCCTTGGGAGAGGGCAGGATGTTGAAGGGCACAGGAAGGGTCAGGCCCTCTCGGAAGTAGGACAAGTAGAGCTTGGAGCGAGCGAACTTCCATTCCACATCAGCGTCATCCTGGGGCCAGGAGACAGGGGCTGTATAAGAACTGTTTGGCTCCTGGACCTCCTGCCCACTCAGCTCCCTTCTCCAGTCCTCATATCTCTTGTTTTCCAGCAGGCCAGCCCCTTTCCTCTCCCCCTGCTTATCTCCATCCTTGTCTATCACCCACGTCTCCCCACCTGTCTCCTTAACTCCTCTCTTCCCCTCGTTACCTTTCATCCTTCTGATATCCAATTCCTGCCCAGTCCGCTCTCCACCCTAACCCGTCCACTGCCCTTCTTTTCTCTCTCCTCCACCCACCCACTTTTCTACAGTGCACTCCTCCCCCTCTCCCTAAAGTGAACAGAACACTAGACTTGGTGTCTGGAGATACTAATAGCACCACTAAGACCCCCATTTTGCAGGAGAGAACTTGTCCAAAGCCATAAAATAAGACAATAGTAGAGGCAGAGCAGGAACCCAAGTGTCTTGGCTCCTTGCACCCTCTTCCTCTCCATCCCTTTCTCCCTTCTTCTCCCTGTGCTAAGCTGGCCTCTATTCATGTACCTCAATCTTCTGGAAGGAGTTGGTGATCATGGCAATGAGCATGTTGAGCAGCACAATGACCATCACGATGGTGAAGATGCCATAGAGGGCCCGGCCCACGAATTCAGGCACCAGAAACTGAGGCATGTCTACCACGCTGTGCTCCTCCATGCCAAACATGGTCCAGAACAGAAATTGGAATGTCTCGTTGAAACTGGCATGCCGGGCCGAGTAAAGACAGGAAATGAGGGATGGGAGAAGAGCCTGAGCTCTGCCCAGATGTTCCCCCTCACCTGCTAGGACCCAGTCAAAGGCAATTTGGGGGATCCTGGTCCATTAGGAAGTACCACTTCCTAAGAAGTGGTCCAAGAAGTACCACTTGGTACTTCTGAGCTTCGAGTTTTATTCTTTCTGTCAACCAATATTTACTGAGTGCATAGTGGTGTCAAAGGTGCTAAGGGGGCTTGGCATCTCTAGCTCAGTGGCTAGGGCACTAGCCACATACACCAGAGCTCAAGGGTTCAAAACCAGCTCAGGCCTGCCAAACAACAATAACAACTACAACCAAAAAATAGCTGGGCGTTGTGACGGGCACCCGTCATCCCAGCTACTTGGGAGGCTGAGGCAAGAGAATTGCTTAAACCCAAGAGTTGGAGGTTGCTGTCAGTTGTGATACCATGGCACTTTACCCTCTACCAAGGGTGACATAGTGAGACTTTGTCTCAAAAAAAAAAAAAAAAAGATGCCAAGGGTATGTTAGTATCAAGATGAATCCCTGTCTTGAAGGGCCTTATGTTCTGGGGATGAGATGGACACTGTAATACCAACACTTGAACATTGTGGACACTGCTATACCAACATTTGAACACTTTCTATGCAGAGCATCACAGGATATTATGACCTGGTCTGGGGTTGGGGAAAGCCTCTTTGAGAAGCATTCAAGCTGAGCTCTGAAGGATGATGGAAATCAACATGCGAAAGGCAGGAGATGTGGAAATGAGTGTTCCCCAAGGCTGGAGAGTGTGGTGGCATTTTAGAAACTGAGACAAGGCTAGTGTGGCTGGTCAGAGGGGAGAGGACAGAGAGCCTTATGAGAGTACAGACTAGACAGGACTACCTTCAGTCCAGATGTCTACCATACAACCCAAAATTTGTAACAAAAATATCTTTTTTTTTTTTTTTGAGACAGAGCCTCAAGCTGTCCCCCTGGGTAGAGTGCTGTGGCATCACAGCTTACAGCAACCTCCAGCTCCTGGGCTGAAGCGATTCTCTTGCCTCAGCCTCCCAAGTAGCTGGGACTACAGGTGCCCACCACAATGCTTGGCTATTTTTTGGTTGTAGTTGTCACTGTTGTGTGGCAGGCCTGGGGTGGATTTGAACCTGCCAGCTCTGGTGTATGTGGCTGGCGCCTTAGCCACTTGAGCTATAGGCGCCAAGCCAGCAAAAAATACTTTTGATTTAATAAGCTGTCACCACTGAATGGACAGCCTGGGAGAGCTCAGTCTTCTCTTGCCATTGTGGAGTGATACCAACAGCACCCCGGAAGCAGGCTGGAAGGAGCAGTTACTGTCTCTGGTACTAAGACTCACAGTCAGCCTACACAGTTCTTTTAAGCTAACCGCCTAAAGCCAGTCTGTGAACAAGAATTCCTTTTAAGAACCATGAGAAAGGGTGGTGCCCATAGCTCAGTGGATAGGGCGCCAGCCACATACACTGAGGCTGGCGGGTTTGAACCTAGGCTAGGCCAGCTAAACAACAATGACAACTGCAACATCAAAAAAAAAAAAATAGCTGGGCATTGTGGCAGGCACCTGTAGTCCCAGCTACTTGGGAGGCTAAGGCAAGAGAATTGCTTAAGCCCAAGAGTTTGAGTTTGCTGTGAGCTGTGATGCCACAGTACTCTACTGAGGGTGACATAGTGAGACTCTGTCTCAAAAAAAAAAAAAAAAAGAACCATGAGAAAGCCGAGACCAACATCCACAGGCTCCAGTATGGATCCTTTAGTGTCATCAGTAAACCTGTCACACAGTTGCACTCATGAAGAATTTTTCTTTTTTTTCAGTTTTCTTTTGACCGGGGCTGGGTTTGAACCCGCAACCGCCACCTCCACCTTTGATATATGGAGCTGGCGCCCTACTCCTTGAGCCACAGGCATCGCCCCTCATGAAGAATTTTTCATTGGGAAACTGCTTGGGGGGCCACCTAGAGCACCCTGGCCCGCTAGAGAAAACCAAGCTTCTCAGCAAGACCCTCATGAGTTCCATGACCTGGTCCCCGCTACCCTGTTTCACCAACTCTCATAAAATTCTCTCCATGTCACAACCACAGAAAACATCTAGCTATTCTCCAAACATACCTCCCTGCTTTGGTACATGTCCCTATTCTGCCCAGAATGCCCTGTGTCTTCTGTGAAGTCCATACCCTTCCAGGTGGAGTCCAGATTCTCCTTTCCCTGAGAAGCTTTCCCTGACCATCCAAGACAGAGGAAGGGGCTTCCTCTTTTAGTAACCCTCAACATAAACCTTCCTTTGTCTCAAATTGAGCTTTTTTATGCACATGGCTATCTTCTCCATGAGGATGCGTCTGGTTCATTTCTCCTGTTTGTGCTCTCAGTGCCAGGGACAGGACCTACTAAAACAAGATGTCAGTAAATTAGTGTGAAAGTGACAACAAAAAACCTACAATGACTGGCTCGGTGCCTGTAGCTCAGCAGCTAGGGAACCAGCCACGTACAGCAGAGCTGGCAGGTTCAAACCCAGCCTGGGCCTGCCAAGCAATAATGACAACTGCAACCAAAAAATAGCCAGGCATTGTGGCAGGTGCCTGTAGTCCCAGCTACTTGGGAGGCTGAGGCAAGAGAATCACTTAAGAGAATTGCTTAAGCCCAAGAGTTTGCATTTGCTGGGAGCTGTGATGCTATAGCACTCTACCCAGGGTGACATATGAGACTCTGTTTCAAAAAAAAAAAAAAAAAAGCCTACAATGACTGAATGACTAACAAGGTGAATGAATTTTATTTTTATTTATCTATTTATTTATTTTGTAGCTACAGAGTCTCACTTTCTTGCCCTCAGTAGAGTGCTATGGCATCACAGCTCACAGCAACCTCCAACTCCTGGGCTTAGGCGATTCTCTTGCTTCAGCCTCCTGAGTAGCTGGGATTACAGGTGCCTGCCACAATGCCTGGCTATTTTTTGGTTGCAGTTTGGCGGGGGCTGGGTTTGAACCCACTACCCTCGGTATATGGGGCTGGCGCCCTGCCCACTGAGCCACAGGAGCTGCCCCCAGGTATTTGTTGTTGTTGCAGTTTGGCCAGGGCCAGGTTTGAACCCACCACCCTTGGTATGTGGGGCCTGTGCCCCATTCACTGAGCCACAGGCGCCGCCTGTGAATGAATTTTAAAAGTGAGTGAATGCGCCAAGCCCACACCTGTAATCCTAGCACTCTGAGAGGCTGAGATTGGAGGACTGCCTGAGCTTAGGAGTTCCAGACCAGCCTGAGCAAGACTGAGACCCCCTGTCTTCTAAAAATAGAAAAACTAGCTGGTTGTCATGGTGGGCCCCTGTAGTTTCAGCCACTGAGGAAGCTGAGGCAAGAGGATCATTTGAGCCTAGGAGTTTATGGTTGCTGTGAGCTATGATGCCAGGGTGCTCTACCCAGGATAGCAGATTAAGACTCTTTCCTCCTCCACCAGAAAATAAATAAATAAATAAATAATAAATATAAGTAAATGAATAAGTGAATAAACAAATACAAAAATCAATTATTGGCCATATTTAGGAAGAACTGAACACTAAATAGAATAATGACTTTAATGGATTAATATATTTTAAAAGATCTTTTTGAGTCCATACTAATAGTCAGAAAAGAAGAAGGTAGGTGAAAGCACTTCTGTATAAAAGAATGCCCGCTGATAAGTGTAGAAAAAGTACAGAAGTAGAAGATCGCCATCTTGAACCCACCACAGTTATACCTGATTCAAGTCAAAGTAATCTATGGATGCTAAAGCCACTTGGTAAAAGTTGTGAAGGAACAGTTAATCACACAGTCTCAACCCATCTCCCTGTTACTACATGGACTTTTCAGGCTGGGTGCCGTGGCTCACGCCTGAAATCACAGTACTTGAGAGGCCAAGGTGGGTGGATTGCCTGAGCTCACATGTTTGAGACCAGCCAGAGCAAGAGCAAGACCCTGTCCCTAAAAAATAGCTGGGCATTGGGGTGGGTGCCTGTAGTACCAGCTACCTGTGAGGCTGTGAGGGAAGAGGATCTCTTGAACCCATGAGTTTGAGGTTGCGTGATCTAAGATGCTACAGCACTCTATTGAGGGTGACCAAGTGAGACTGTCTCCAAATAAATAAATAAATAGGCTTTTCAATAGAGAAGTCTGCTAGTCCGGTTGGCCTCACCAATGAGCCAAACTAACTTTATGGCCCTCCCAATGTGATACAATGGGAAGTACACATAGCCAACTAGGTTGTCTTCTTGCCAAAATTGTTTCACTTGAATCTAATTATGAGGCAAATAAAAGTTCATTTGTCAAGCAAACAAAGAAAAAATAGGGGAAAGATTAAAGAAAAAAAAGACTGGGGCGGCGCCTGTGGCTCAAGGAGTAGGGCACTGGCCCCATATACTGCAGGTGGTGGGTTCAAACCCAGCTCCGGCAAAAAACTGCAAAAAAAGACTGAAAGATAGACAATAAAATGTAATGCATAATCCTAGGTTGGATACTAGATTTTAAAAACTTGACTTTTAGGCCGGGTATGGTGGCTCACCTGTAATCCCAGCACTCTGGGAGGCCAGATGGGTGGATTGCTTGAGCTCAGGAGTTTGAGAACAACCTGAGCAAGAGCAAGACCCCCATCTTAAAAATAGCTGGGCATTGTGGCGGGTGCCTGTAGTCCCAGCTACTCGGGAGGCTGAGACCAGAGAATTACTTGAGCCCAGGAGTTTGAGGTTATTGTGAGCTATGATGCTATGGCACTCTACCAACGGCAACGTAGTGAGACTCTGTCTCAAAATAAATTAATAAATAAAATAAATAAAAACTTGGGTAGTGTCTGTGGCTCAAAGGAGTAGGGTGTCGGTCCCATATACTGGAGGTGGTGGGTTCAAACCTAGCCCCGCCCCCCCTAAAAAAAACCTGCAAAAAAAATAAAATAAACAAAATAAATAAATAAAAACTTGACTTTTTCTTTCTGGAAATACAGGAAATTTAAGGATTGCATAGTAAAATATTATAGTATCAATATTAAATTTTTGATTATAATAATGCTTCTGCGGTTATGTTTTTAGGAGACAACATGAACTATTTAGGGGTGAAATGTTATATTATTTGCAGCTTTCTCTTTTTTTTTGGCCTCCAAGGATAAGCATTAAAGCAACTTATTTAATTAAATTTATTTATTTATTTATTTATTTATTTATTTATTTATTTTTGAGATAGTTCACTTTCTCACCCTTGGTAGAATGCCATGGTGTCATAGCTCACAGCACCCTTAAACTCCTGGGTTCAAGTGATCCTCTTACCTCAGCCTCCCAAGTAGTTGGGACTACAGGTGCCCACCATGACACCCAGCTATTTTTTTGGAGAAGGGGTCTTGCTCTTGCTCAGGCTGGTCTTGAGCTCAGGTGATCCACTGTTTTAGCCTCCCAAAGTGCTAGGAGTATAGGTATGAGCCACTGTGCCCAGCCTTAAAGCAACTTATTAAATGTTTGAGGGGGAAAAAGAGAGAGCAATAGATCAAGCAAATGTGGCAAAATGTTAACAATTGGTGAAGCTAGGTGAAGGGTATTTGGGTGTCCACTGTACCTTTTTTTTTTTAAGCAGTTTTTTTGCTAGGGCTGGGTTTGAACCCACCACTTCCAGCATATGGGGCTGGCGCTCTACTCCTTTGAGCCACAGGTGCCACCCATGTCCACTGTACTTTTAACTTTTTTATAGGATTGACATTTTTCAGAATAAAAAGTTTGGGGAGAAAATAAGTGAATAAATAAATGCATAAATGAACAGATAAGTGAATGACAGTATGGATCAATGAAGTTATGAGCAAACAAGAAAATCAATTGATGGCTCGGCGCCTATAGTTCAACCGGCTAAGGCGCCAGCCACGTACACCTAAGGTGGCGGGTTTGAATCCCCAGCCCAGACCCGCCAAAACAACAATGA